AATGGCACCAAAATCGCAATTCTTGCAGTTTATGTATACGTTTAAGAGGCCAAGCGTATTTGGGTATTTAGATTGGAAATTAATCTAATTTTTTTCTAGGCAGGCCAAAAGAATTGTACGGAATTATAATGGCAAGATAGGCCAAGTTTATACGTGGTAGAGGATATTTTTCCTCTTTTTCCACACGATGTCAAACGTTTTAATGACCCGATTGTTAGATATCGTAGGTTCAAGGGTTACTTTGGCTTTGATGCTAAGTAGACGAGGCCGGTCTAGCCGAACCGGGGTGGGTCGGCTTGCCCAACTCCAAAAGGAATAAAATAAATTGTTCCTATTATTTATGTTATGACAGATTTGGTCCCCAAACCAATCTCCGATTCTAATATCCTTAAAAAAAAGTTTTTGATCGGGGTCCCCTATAAAGTTTGGTGATTGTCCAAATGAATCTAGTGTGGCTATAGTCTTTCGAATTGCCGTTCAAATAGCTGGTACTTCTCCCATTTTCAATTAAGTTGGTGTGATTAGATGTGGAAACGACTACATAGGTAGGTGTTGCCCAAATTGAAGATAAGATGAGAGAAGGTCGTGAGATGGTTTGGTCATGTTCTACTTTCAATCCATTTGTATTTCTTTTCTGATGCCGAAGCGCGAAAGAAATTAGGCTAAACAGAAGAATCGAAACGATAACGGGGAACAAACTGTTCTCTCAATCGATTAACAATCAAAATATCCAAAGTCTGCTCAAACGAAACCCTAAAACAAGCTTATATATCTCCAAACCTAACCCTACTAGGATTAATAAACATCAAAACGCAAAATTACGAAACTGCCCTTTACTAAATTAACCCATTAAAAAAATACTAAAATAATAGAAAAATCCATCTAAACGACCCCGAATCACGAAAATCCATCATTAGTCACAGCCAACGGCAGTGAGTATTGATCAGCATGCCGTTTCTCTTCAGCCGACCAAATTTGAACTTAATCCGAGATCGTTGACTTCGAGCCCGTCGGTTCGTCTAGTCGCATAACGGGTCCGCCGGTCCCCTAAGTGCATCATCCTCCCCTGCTAGAGAAAGATTTGTTCACGAATCTGCTTCGTCTTCATTGTCGCCAATCTCTTCAGGATCTTCTTCCTCTTCAGCGTAGTAAGGTGACAAATCTGCTACATTAAAAGTTCCGGATACATTATACTTACCCGGCAAATCGATCTTGTAAGCATTGTCACTAATTCGCTCCAAAACTCTGAAGGGTCTATCAGCTCTAGGTTGAAGCTTGCTAAACCTACCCGCTGCAAATCGTTCTTTCCTAAGGTGAATCCAAACTAGATCACCTTCCTTGAAGACGACTCTTTTCCTGTATATATCCACGCGCTGCTTATACTTCATGTTCTGCCTGTTGATCTGATTATGGACTTGGGAATGCAGCTCTTTGATATGCTTTGCATGTTCTTCAGCTTCCGAACTAAATTGTTTGAGAACTGATATCGGTGTGAGATCCAATGGAGTAATTGGATTACGCCCATAAACCACCTCAAAAGGAGTCTTGCCTATAGTTCGGTTCTCAGATTTGTTATAGGCAAATTCTGCCTGAGGCAATGTCAAGTCCCATTGTCGCGGATTATCTCTAACCAAACTCCTCACAATAGCATAAAATTCTTTATCATAAGTTGAATACTTCCTTTTCGCTTCATTCAACTTCTCACTAAAGAATGCTACAAGTTCACATTTTTGACTCAGGACACCCCCAATATCAACACCTAAAGCATCACAATGCACCTAAAAAATCTCATTAAAGTCAGGAAGAATGAGAACAGGTGCTTCAGTCACCTTCTTCTTTAATAATTGAAAGGCAGCCTCTGCCTCCTTAGTCCACACAAATTTACTTCCTTTCAGACAATCCGTCAGAGGTACAATAATAGTACTGAAATCCCGAACAAATCTCCGATAAAAAGACGCAAGCCCATGAAAGCTATGTACCTCATGAATATTTTTCGGAATCTCCCAATTTGTAATAGCCTCAGCCTTAGCTGGGTCCATCTGAATGCCCTCCTTGGTTACAATATATCCCAAAAAGGTCACACGATCAGTCAGGAAGTGACACTTCTTGGTATTAGCATATAATTTCTGCTCCCTCAATGTCTCGAACACCCTTCTCAAATGCTGCAAGTGTTGATCAGTCGATGCACTATAAACCAAAATATCATCGAAATATACGACGACAAACTGGCCAATAAAAGGACGAAACACCTGATTCATCAGTCTCATAAAGGTGCTCGGTGCGTTAGATAACCCGAAAGGCATCACCATCCACTCATACAGACCATCTTGAGCTTTAAAAGCGGTCTTCCACTCATCTCCAGGACGTACCCTAATCTAATGATATCCACTCCTCAAGTCTATCTTCGAAAAAATAGTCGCTCCATACAACTGATCAATTAAATCATCAAATCTCGGGATAGGAAAGCGATACCTAATCGTGATCTTCTTGACAACTCTGCTATCCACGCATATTCTCCACGACCTGTCTTTCTTAGGAACCAACAAAGCTGGCACTGCACAAGGGCTCATGCTCTCTCGAATTGCACCCTTTTCTAATAGTTCCTGCACTTGCCTATGCATCTCCTCATGCTCCTTAGGATTCATTCTGTAAGCTGCCTTATTAAGAATAACAGCTCCTGGAACGAGAATTATACAATGTTGAATGTCCCTCATGGTTGGCAATCTAGGTGGCAATTCCTCTGGTACGACATCAGCAAACTCCTCAAGTATCGGCAGAATTTGAGTTGAAATTTCTGGACTATCAAGATTCTGCTCCATGACTACAACAGCAAAAAGCTCTGGGGCATTCACCGCCTCCTCCTGGAACTCTGATTTGGAAAGCAGATTACTTTTCCATCTTTTCTCAAATCTGAAGGACCCAGAGTAATGATCCGACCATCCTTCTTGAAGGTGTATGTATTTTTGAATCCGTCATGCTGTGTTTTCCTGTCAAACTGACAAGGTCTTCCTAACAGAATATGACAAGCATCCATTGGAATTACATCACCCCACACTTCCTCAGTATATTTCTTCCCAATTGAGATCTGCACTAAACACCTCTTACTCACTTTTACCTCATTCCCCTTCCTAAGCCATGACAGCTTATATGGTTGAGGATGTTCGACAGTTTTCAACCCCAATTTTTCTATCATAGTGGTATATATCACATTCTCAAAACTTCCCCTGTCAATTATCATACTACACACATTTCCCCCCACTAGTGCACTTAGTATGAACGATATTATGCCTGAGTCACGATTCATCATCTACCTCAGCAATATTTAAAACCCGACGCACAACTAAAGATTTACCAGAATCGGCATAGACAATGTCCTCCTGATCTAAATCTGCATCTTCTTGCTCTCCATCAGATTCATCATAAGTCGGGTCTTCATCAAAAGTTAGATTATCTACAAGTATCACAAACTGTCGGTTCGGACAATCATCAGCAAAATGTCCGAGTCCTTGACACTTGAAACATCGCTTGCCTGCAGCTCCTCCTCTGCTAGATCCGGCACTACCTTGTTCTCCTTTTGTTGCAGATTTCGATCCAGTGCCCTTAACTACCGCCGGGGCTGAAGAACTCCCTGCTTTCCGTCGGGACTCTTTATCTGACCACTTGGAATTACTGCTAGACCACTTAGAACCACTGCTAGACCACTTGGACTTACTGCTCTTTCTTTTAAACTGCCCCTCCACCTTTAGGGCTAGTCTGCACACATCCTCATATGTCCAATACTGCTGTAATTGGACAACATCAGAGATCTCATATCGCAGCCTTGCCAGATATCGAGGAATCGTCTGCTCGTCTTCCTCCGCCACATCACAACTCATCCGCAAGCGATCAAATTCCTCTGTAAATTTCTCAACTGTTTTATCACCTTGCTTGACGTTATGATACTCTATAAACGCCTCTTGCCTATAATGAGTAGGCAAAATTTTTTTTTGCAGTAACTTTTTCATCTTCTCCCAACGATCCACCTTCGGCTTCCCCTCTCTAGCGCGTTGCTTTTTCACGTGTTCCCATCAAATCGAAGCATGTTTTCGCAGCCTAATAGCCACTAACTTCACTTTTTGCCCCTCAGTTAGGTCTTTAAGATCAAAAATCCGTTCTACCGTATGTAACCAATCAATAAACTTATCAGGATGAGCCTTACCATTAAACTCGGGAATCTCAATCTTCATCCCGAAATTTTGAGAAGAGTGCTGATTTCCGGGTTGTACTCCTCGATTCCGCCCCTGGTTCAGAACCCCGAAAAGGTTTACGTCCTCCTCTTCATCATCGGATGGATCCTCAGATTCTGCTTCTTCTTCAGATTGAGCGTCAAGCCCTGCCTCCGCAAGACGTCGCTCCAAATCCTGGATTCGCCTTCTCTGTTCTTGAATTTCTATATCTCGCAGGTCTCTCAGACGCGGCTATTCATCTGCATCAGAAACGACTTCACGCCCCCAGCCTCCATGAGCACGCTGTCTTCGACCACCTCGATTCTATTCAGCCATTGATTCAGATAACCTAGGCTCTGATACCAATTGATGTTGAAGCACGAAATAAATTAGGCTAAACAGAAGAATCGAAACGATAACAAGGAACAAACTGTTCTCTCAATCGATTAACAATCAAAATATCCAAAGTCTACTCAAACGAAATCCTAAAACAAGCTTATATATCTCCAAACCTAACCCTACTAGGATTAATAAACATCAAAATGCAAAATTACGAAACTGCCCTTTACTAAATTAACCCATAAAAAATACTAAAATAATAGAAAAATCCATCTAAACGACCTTGAATCACGAAAATCCATCAGTAGTCACAGCCGATGGCAGTGAGTATTGATCAGCACGCTGTTTCGCTTCAGCCGACCAAATTTAAGCTTAATCCGAGATCGTTGACTTCGAGCCCGTCAGTTCGTCTAGTCGCATAACGGGTCCGCCGGTCCCCTAGGTGCATTATTTTCATACAGCTTTGCAGATGAATGAATCATCAAGTATGAAGCTGCAATATATTGTCAGTATCTTGGTTTCTGATAGAATTGTTTCTGCAGTTATGCAAGATTGATTCTGAAGGAAAAGCAAGGAAGTTCATCGGTTGCTCCTGTGTTGTTCTAAAGGTACTTATTTCACAATCTCTGCCGAATTTTAGTAACTTTTTGTTGGCCTATCTTATTTCTCTCAATGATGTGCGGTAACCTTATTATGCTGACAAATCATAGAAAGTTTTCTAACATGTATAAGTTTAGAACAGGTAAGTGGTCATCTGTGATGCTTAACAGTGGTGTAGAATGTTTGTTTCTGTTTGCATATTTTCTTTATCAAGCGGCTCATTACTATTTTATCAATTTGCAGGATTTTGGAGAAGAGATCGAGGCTCGCCATGTCGTTTTGGAGTATGTGAAGTCACACTGAGAAGTATAGCTCTTTCGATCAAGAGAGGCCTTCCTTAGTTGAATGCTCTGCGGTTTTGTGATTGTTATAGTTGAACCATGTCTTATTTTTTACCAGTTTTTGCTCGTGTCAAGTTTGAAACAATTTCAATTTAGTCCATCATATTCCATTAAATTCCCTGTACGACCATCTGATTTGGGAGCTTAGAACTCTGCATCTTATCCTTTCAGATAGTGGTTTAATGGTTGATGCTTGATTCACTCGTTATGTCTTTTTCTGGTTTGATGGCTCGAAAAGCTGGATTTAATTGTCATGTTTTGAATTGAAAAGAAAAAAAAAAGGATACTCGGATCCCGACCTGACTTGGGCTTTTAGCCTGGGTCATTTGCTGTTCAGGTCGGGTTCCGGATCAGAAACACAAGCATTTTGCTTGTTTCAAGTTGGGTCGGGTATCATGGAAACCTGACTTGACCCATTGACACCCCTTAGTATACGCACTTCCATAACCAAACAATTTTAACCTCCATGTTTCGAGGGAGTCAGGGAAAAGAATCTAACACGCATGTAAGTCGCAACTCTCGCAATCGAATGATACCTTTTCGACATAGTCCTCCTTTGCGAGGCTTAAGGTGAAGCCAAGGCAGCTGAAGATAGAGGACATGAGAGAGCAGGCGTAAGAGAAAAGCGCCACTTCGACATCGGCCATCTGGGAGTACACAACCTTGTTGACATCTAAATTTTAACTAGTCATTTAAGAACAATTGCATAGAAAATTAGAGATTATTATTATTATTTTTAATCCCTAAACAAAAAATATAATTAGATGGCATAGCATATAGTTTTTAGGAGCATTTATCATATAGCTTAATTACATTTTGCATATTAATTGGACTGGCGGTGGATGGACTCGAGTGAACGGCTCTGAACTTAATGAAATTGGACTAAGCCCGCTTTCAAGAAATTCTTGGCCAAGCCCATGAACATTATAAGAGCTAAAATTTTCATTGGAAAATGTCGAGTTGGAAAATATTGGTTTGTTAATCTTGATATTATCACGATTCAAATTGAATGAATTGATATTATCACAGAGATATTGCAATATTTTCTTTGAATCAAAATAGGAAGTAATTGCAAGCTAAAAAAAAACCTAAACTTTGCCTATAAATACATTCAATAAGGATTCTCTCGGGAGGGGGGCACCCAATTCATACACACGGAGAGAGAGAAGCAGAGGAGTCGTGTGGCCATTAGAGAGAAATCGTGAGGGGGGCCATACAATTCACAGTACGGCCATATTATTGAGAGAAGTCACGAAATACCAAAAAAAAAAAGAGAGGAGAGTGTGCGGCCGAGTCCCTCCACAGCCGCGACCCAGCCTCCTTGCCGACGTCGACCTCCCTTGCAGCCAAGCTCCTCTGCTACTGCTACTTTGCTGATCGCTTCACCTAGACGACCAATGAAGCTGCTGTGCCGTCGCTGATCAAGAAGCTCTAGACAACGTGCTCCAACCCATGTGTCCAGCAGCTGTCATCTGCCGCCCTTGTTCTGCCCAACTTAGCCGCGACCAGCACAGCCCAGGGTCGCCTGAGCCACCATCATCATATTTCAGAGCCAGCGAGGCTCTTACGGAGTTCTATCTAGCTCGACGGTGCCCTGAAGAGTTTTCTGACTGTTCCAGCAACACCGGCTCACCCAACGAGCTCTTGTGGCCAGCAGTGTTTCGAGAAGTCAGTCCGCTACAAGTCCATCAAGACGACCACTTGTCTTCACTGAACCGATCTTTGGGACAAGTCTAATTACACGTTGCTGTGGTTGAGATTCTTGGGCGCTGTGTCCGCTGGAAAGTTGTTGCCAAGGTAGAAAGAGAAAAAATATTTTATTTGCATGTGATGACTCGTGGGTGAGGTGGCGAGAAAGTTTCTGAAGGAGTGCATCATTGAATCATTCACAAATAAGAAGAACGCAAGTGTCCAGGGCCGACAACATCTACAAACTCCAGTCAGCCGTGAGTCCCGTGGCTCCCTTCCTCCATCGCCGCCACCTCTCATCGTCGCCACCGCGTCTGTCGTCGATCACCCACCGTCGGTCCTCTGATCCGCACTCCCAATCCGCTGGCGATTCGAATTTGGAAAGTTATTTGCGCATTTAGGTAAATATCTCATCCGAATCAATTTGGATATTTTATTGCTTATTCCATATCGTTATCTAACTTTGCATATTTGAGCAATAGGCACTATTTCAATTAGGATTTATTTATTCTTTGGAAATCTTGGATGTGTATTACTTGGATAGAATTTGAAAATTTCAAAATCTTTTGAATATATCCAAGATATTCAAGATAGCAAAATCTTTTCAAGATGTGATCGGTTAGGAAAATCTTCTAATCCGCAACCGCACACATGGGAATGAGTCTATCTATCAGTCTTTAGATAGAGTTATTTCCATAGCGGGTATTTCGAATTTTTAGGGTCGATCTGTCAGGGTTCAGATCGAAACTTAATTCGAAAGATTTAGCGGTTATAATCTTTCTTCTAAAAGATTTGTGACTTAAATTTAAATTTGAAAATGCATCAAAAATACAAAAAAAAATTCATAAAAAGAAAATCAAATTTTTTTTTTTGCACCTTTGAACTCTAAATCAGAATTCATCAAAATTGCCGAATTGAGCATTTTTCTTGAGATTGGTACCGAAAGGAACCAAGTCCCCGGATTTATAATCTCTGGTTCGTAGAAATAAAATAGTACTCCCGTTATTTTATTTAGGTTTCTAATCAACCTACCTTAAATGATTAGTGTCGGCTCCCATTGAAAATATTTGCATGCTCATAATTGGACCTAAGTTGCGAATTGGTAGAGTTTGGGAGAATTCGAGCTAGGTTAATTAATTTAATTGATCTAGTAATCAATTAGCCTAAGATTAAAAAATCTGATTTTTAGGTCGCGACAAACCTTATGACTGCGCCATCTTCCCCAGTGGCTGGTGGTCGGCCATCGCTTGAGTTTATGCAAGGTGAGAAGTTGGCTCGGATGTTACCAATCCAATCAAGTTGTTACTTTTATACAGTTTGACAGGCGAGTTAATGCAAGGAAAGAAGTTCGTTCAGATGTTACGTCACTGGATTAATTAATCCTGTCAATAAAAACGTCTTTTAACGACATAGTCACATAAAGGCTGAATCATTCGCGCATCCTTAAGAAATGTTCTTTTTGGTATGTAAATTGGAAAGATACCTTATTTGTCCAAGGGTTTCTAGAATAATAATTTTTTGACGATCGAGGACGGCAGCAACTATTGACCGTGGGGCGATGGCCGTCAGGCAAATCTCAACTGTGGCACTCGGTTATTGATGGCAATGGAAGCGAGCGACGGTGCCAGATGTTGGGTCAAGGTGGCTGTCGGTGATGGCCACGACACTAATACTTGGGGATAGTGGTGGACCAAATGCGGTGCGACTTTATCTGTAGGTCAATTGGTGGTGATGGAAGCATCCTCCGGTGTGCGGTGGTGGGCAACCAGCGGCCAATGACATGCGACGAGTCGACAACAATTGATGGTGGGGGAGAGGGTTGCGGCGGGCGATAGCAATTGCAAGGGGGAAGGTGCCTGGGATGGTGATTAGGCCAACAACAACAATACAGCCCTTTAATAGTACTACCATGACGTGCTCGTACACCTTTTGCTCTAATGAAAAAATGTCTAAAATTCAAAGTAAATAAGATCCATGGACAAACTCAATGTTACTATGCAATCAAGTATATACGGATACATCAGTACGGATATCATATGTTTCCCAAGTCATAAGAAATGGAAAACAAGGACATTACATTTGTCTTAACTATCTCATGGTGCTAACTTGAATGCTATTGCTTTTGTGCGATGCTCACTTAAGTGTCATGGCTTTTCTTTCAAATCAACACCTAGTCCTCTAGAAAGGAAGAGTCCGCTGATGTAAAGAATGACAGCTTCTGAAGCAACAATGTAATCCTGCAAATAAGTCTTCGCGGAGTTCTCTGTGAGAAGAAGATGGTGTTAGAAAAAGAATGTTAGAAACAGAGGAGCTAACCAGCACTCCACAAAACTTGGTCTACGTATCTTTGGGCATGTTTCCTAATTGTTCTGACAAAATAAAAAGAAGAGAGGAGGGAGGATGAAAAAAACAGTGCTACAAATACATACAAACTCACCATCCTCTTTGACTTTCTTAAATAAGTCTCCCGCTGTGGGAAGGACATTAATCGCAGCAGCTACAGCTTTCCTAATGGCCCATCCATGGAAAGGAGCAAGAACCTGTGCGTAAGCCTTTTTGGCTGCATCCTTGTAGGAATCCCCCCTACCAAAAAAATTAATAAGCCATAAAGATCACCCATAACAACATATGAAAGCAATGTCAAGTGCATAGCTAATGAGGAAAAGCCAACAGATCCAAAACATTTTTACCCACTATTTAGTTTTAACCCTTCCTGAACGCCATAAATCAACATCCTTCTTTATCTCATGTCTTCTTCGTCCTCCTCTCATTGTGTTGTCCCTACTGCAGAACTCCATTTTGTAGAGGCACATTGACTAGACATATCCTGTGTCTAACCCACTTTACATGAGTCCCTCCCATCCCATCCTGGATAAATTCAGCACCAACTTTCTTTCAAAGATGTGCACTTTCCAACTTCGGTGTTCTAGAATCAAAATTTTTCCTTTAGTTTTCAGGACATCACAATTTCATCTAGCTTAGGGAAAAAGTATACATTTTCCATGGTAACTTGTTCAATAGTATTATACGCCTGAGTTTTGAGCTCATTGTTAAGTGGGACACGACCCAAATTATATCCCAATAAGATCAAAAAAGGAGATGATCCATTTTGAGTTTTCTGTTGTAGAGGTTCCAGCTAGCGTGGAGACCTAAGATGTAGGCTTCATAGTGACGCGAACCCAAACCAGTTTCCTCCTTTGCGGTCGGGTTATAGACTGTCTGGGGATTTAACATTTTGTTGCATTTAACTCCGATTGTATAGATCCATATACACAGTATGAAATGGGCGTATAGGAGATCCTGATTTTAGAAGAGATATGTTAGTGTAATTTCCTCAAAGCACATCTTTTTAAGACCCTCCCTATTAATGTCTGTCACATTGACATGACCACATACTTATATAGCTACCGCAAGCCTAACATTGTGCAACCTTCACAAGACACATATGGAGACTTCCAAACTGTAGTTCTTTCAAAGATAATTCATTATTCCCTCGCCCATTCTCAACTTTGTGGAGTTTTCCTCCTCTCTTACTCCACAAAAGTCTATATCCTATAATATTTGCTTGGTGGGAAGATAAGGGGTTGTTAGGAGGTGGCTTTATGGGCTTCGTGAAATTGTGTTCACTCTAAACAAGTTGAAAATGGACTAAATACTGGATTTTTTCTTTTCCTACCACTTAATATCATTAGCAGTCCAGGAAACACACATTTGCTAACTTGTAGCAGTTATGTGCAAAGAAGTACAATAGAGAAAGCTGAGCGTCATTTACATACTCTGATTCAAGAATCTGTTCAAAGAATACCCTGACCAAGTCCAGGGCCCGATTCACCCTCAGAAGGTGTCTCGAATGGCAACCTGGTTTACTGATGCAGTTGCTTTCCACATCGCGATCCAGCAAAGCTGGCAAGGTCTTGATTGACTTGGATGCGTCTGCCAGTATACGAACCTGTTTTTCACAGGATAGGAAAAAATTGCGGTAAGGGCACTAGCAGCAAGATGATCAACCATCACATAAATGGTCAATCGGAAGACAAATTTGAAAAGGCAAACAGTGTGAATTGCAAAATCGAATTAATGAAGGGTGATAGCAAATTCCTATTTAAACCCCAAAATCACTTTTAGGGAACAGCATTCTCCAAGAGAGGAGTTATCGAGTCACAGGAAGACACCTGAAGCTAGTTATCCACCTCCTTACATTAATTAGAGCAAGATTATCTGCGGGCCAATAGAATTAGTTGGATCATAGGTTGTAACATCTCTACATTAACTCACTGAGGTATTGTCCGCTTTGATTCGTTCCATAATGAGCCTCACGATTTTTTCCTTTGGCGCACAGGTGGGCACATTCCCAAGATGTTATCCATCCTGATAATGCTCCCACCTAAGTGCGTTTAACTTTGCAGTTTCAATACAAAGTTTACCGTTACGTCAAAAGGCGCATCCGTAAGTTAATTCCAGTTTCCACATATATATCTCAAATACGCTCTCTCCTTATTTGATGAACAGTCCGATCATCCCTGTCCTCTTCGCCAATCCCAAAGCTTGCCAAGAGCCGCTCCTTGTCCAGGTCCTCTCTGGCCCCGGCGACCACTCCCCGCCCTGGTTGGACTGGGTCATTACCGGAGCTGGTTTCATTTCCAACCTTTTCCTTAGTAGAAGTCAATAGAAAAACACTCAATTTCCTTCCTCTGCAAGCTTCCACAGTACACTCACTACTACTATACTATCAACTCAGCCATCAAACCCTGATGCTACTAACACTTCCATAACTCAACAGTTTTAACCTCGATGATTGAGGGAGTTAGGGAAAGGAATTTAGCACCCGTGTAAGTCGCAGCGCTCGGAATCCTATAATACCTTGGGGGCCAAGTCCATCTCGGCGAACTTGAAAGCGATGCCGAGGGAGCCAATGAGAGGGAGCACGAGAGAGCAGGCTTGGGAGAATGGGGCACGCTCGATGTCCGCCGTCTCGGAGTTCAGGACCGCCGTGAGCTCCTTGAATGACTGGGCGATCTTCCTCAGCAGCTTGTCGTCATCCCCTGGCTCGGCCATCGATTGGAACTTGGATTCAAACGATCTAAATAAGTTATTTCGTTTATTCAGTTTGATAGGTGAGTATAGGTAAAGGAGAGAAGCCGGTCCGGATGTTGCGTCCCTCATATTGATTATACTTGTAGATTAAAAAAATGTGTATTTTAACGATCAAAGACCGAATCATTGGCGCATCCTTTCCAGTGTACTTTCGACGTGTAAACTGGGAAGATTCCTGATCATGGTCACTGTAATAAAAAAATGATCGACCAGCGAGGGTGGTGCTTAAAAGAATACATTGGAGTAAGCAAAGATAACTCTCGATTACTTACAGTTATTAGGACTCTGATTGTTTCGCCGAGAATAAATAATTTCATAAATATTTTCTTAAAAACGCTCACGTACGGCTTGTAACGAGAACGTTCCTCTGACGTTCTTTCTTCTCCCCTTCACGGGACTCGTCTTCAGCACTGTGCGGCTTCGTGTCGTGCATGTGCGGCTTGGGACCCTCGCATAAGATATAAATGCCTTTTTATATGTGTGCCCTTCTTTTTCCTTTTAATTTTATTTAATTCCATGAGTCAACAAAATAACTTTGACCTGGGCCCACCAATATTCCTTCTCTGTTGAGGACGTCCTTTACTGTACATGCCATCGGAAGGATTTCTTTTATGGGCAATTTTGAATATTTTCTCCAACAGAAAATATATATCTTCACAGATAAATTATAGAAATTTATCCAAGCAAGTCGCGTTTCACAAACGGCTTAAACTTGAGATATAAATTTAACACGAAAAATATTTTCATTATCGACAAAAACTTATGTCTAAACATATTTGTGAGCAATGAAAATATTTTTCGTTTATTTATTTTTATAAGCAATATAAGCAATCATTGTTAAAAAAAATATTTTGCAAGTTATTTATTTTCCGCGAAAAAAAGGATGTCTAGATATGGAAATATTTATCTACTCAATGTTGATTATGATGTTGGTCATTGCTTAATGTCTATCAAGGATGAGAAAGAACTATGGTATAGAAAACTAGGTCATGTGAGTATGAGACAGATTTCTAAGCTATCCACCAAGGAGACAGATTTCTAAGCTATCCACCAAGGATCTTGTGCGTGGTCTACCCAAAATTAAACACGAAAAATTTTAGCTATGCAATGTGTGCTTCTTGGATATACAAGTGAGAAGTAACTCCGTGGTTCTCTCTTCTTTTCTATGTAACTGTGATGGCGTAAATCTCCAGATTAACTTTTCGTGCTGGCATGGTAAGGTGACTTGTTGAGTGTAGGAATTCTAGTGATCGGAAGGTGCCAATTTTCAGTTGAAAGATGGAAATATCATCTTGATCTTCGTACTTTGCCTTCATATTTCTATAAGTAGAATCCCCAAAGTCTCTTGAAACCTTACCAACAGAAGTCACATTTGCTTTGCTTTTAATCAAGATGTGTATTGCTATGGAAACAATTTGCGGGTAGTCAAATAATTTCAGATGGCAAAAGGACACAAGAAATGCCAAAACTTGTCAACGAGAATAACTTTAGTGCCAAAACTTTTTTTTTGATCACTTAAGTATCAATTTTTTTTAAAACGATCACTTAAATGCCAAAACTTTTTTTTTTCGGATCACTTAAGTGCCAAATTTTTTGCACTTAAGTGATCGTTTTTCTTCGATTTTGGCACTTAAGTGATCCAAAAAAAATATATTTTGACACTTAAGTGATCCGAAAAAAAAATGGACATAGATAAATTTTGACACTTCTGATGTATTTTTCCCAATTTCAGTCCATTCACTATCTAAACAATGCCCAGTTCAGTCATTGTTAGCAAGACTCTGCAAATTTTCGCGATAGGGACATCCGCCAAATGCCATACATGGACGAACCTGCCTCGTGCCTCCGGCAATACTTTTCCAAAACAAAAGCATACTTTATTTTCCACTAAAAAAAGTTGATTGCGACATTCATTGTCGCCTACATTTTCAATAGACTAGCGTAGTCTCCACGACAAAGAATTTCGGAAATTTTCAATAGACTAGCGTAGTCTCCACGGCAAAGAATTTCGGAAATTTTCAATAGACTAGAGCGTAGTCTCCACGGTAAAGATTTCGGAAAATTAGTCAAGTTGGTAAAAGGTTTAAGACTTTATGTGGGTGAATCTTTAAATTAGGTACATAGTCATCCTAAATGAATGTTCGAAACTTGAATTAGATGACTTGTTTCAATGCATATGTTAAAGCGGTCATGTGGTATCTAATATTTAAAGGAAAAGAAAAATAGTGAGCATAAAAAAGAGTCCTGGAAGTGGTAACTGATGGAATGAGGTGTTGAAGTTCAGGGTGCGCGTGAAGAAATTTCAAGAACAGAATTTCTGTTTCAGAAATAAGTTGGAACAATTATCCATTTGATAACGCAATTTTATTTTTTTATTTCTAGAACAAATTTCTGTTTCAGAAGTAGGTTTAGAATAGAAATAAAAACTTAAAATTTTTTACTTTTTGATTTTTGTTAGAAATCATCTCTCTCCTCTCTCTCCTCACGGCTCGCTCTCCTTTCTCTCCCAGTTCCCTGCTGCCGAATTCTTGTTTCTTTGTTCGCTTGTAACCCTCTCAAGAAGAGGAAAACGAGTGGAAGCGATACAAATGCAGAAAATAAGGGCACCGACAAATCGTCTACATATTCGTTCATCCATCCAATGCCAACAGGCATGGGGAAAGCGATCCTTGCGATGTTGTCTTGAGCTATAGAGGCTCCGGTACTCGCAAGGTCGCAAGGGCTTCACTGATTATCTCACCACGAAATTCTTGAGCTTTAATCTCACTTATTTATCCGTCTCGCAGTAATATCCGTCCTTGATAAATTATTTCCGCATTTACCGTGACATCCCTAAATTTCAATTTTCTAACATAATTTACGAGATTAAATGCTCTTCTTCATTCATGGTCGTGGACACTCAGTGGGTCACTTCCGATCAAGCACATAGACGAACATACGGTCAAAGTGAACATTCAAATATGGTCAATGTGAATAGGAAATACGATCAAAGTGAACATTAAAATACGGTTAAAAAGTGAATAATGATTTTGTTGGAAAGTGTTGACACCTAAAATTAATTAGGTTGTCGACACTTGAAATAAAATAAATAAAGAAAACGTCAAAGGATGACGTAACCTGTACTAGATGACTCACGCAAGCGAAACAACTGGCAAGTACTAGCAGTCACAGGCGGGAAATTTGAAATTCAGAGAAAACCAATGAATGAGGACCAAAAATACCAAGGGAATTTTCATCGAGGACGTCGACGAAAACCCCTGCTTCAAAAGGACAGGTGTCAAGCCAAGAAGAGCTCGATGAGAGCCCATGCTTTGGAAGAGCTCGACGAAGGCCTTGCTTCGGAAGGATAGGTGTCAAGCCAGAAAGAGCTCGACAAAGGCCCCTGCTTCAGAGGGACATGTGTCAAATCAGAAAGAGCTCGATGAGAGTCCACGCTTTGGAAGAGCAGATGTCAAGCTGGAAATGGCTCGATGATAGTTATCATCTCGAAGGATAGGTGTTAGATGGAGAAAAGGCTCGATCATCCCGGAGAACAGATGTCAGATGGAGAAAAGGCTCGATGACGATTATCATCCCGGAGGATAGGTGTCAGATGGAGAAAAGGCTCGATGACGGTTATTATCCCGGAGGACAGATGTCAGATGGAGAAAAGGCTCGATGATGGTGATCATCTCGGAGGACAAATGTCAGATGGAGAAAAGGCTCGATGACGGTTATCATCCCGGAGGACAGGTGTCACATAGAGAAAAGGCTCGATGACGGTTATCGTCCGAGAAAACAAATGGGCTCGATGATGGTTATTATATTAGAAGACAAATGGGATTGATGATGGTTATTATATCAGAGAACAAATAAGCTCAATAAACAGTTATCATCTTGGAGGATAGGTGCTAGAAATAGAAAAGTTGGATGACGGTTATCATCCTAAGAAGAGCAGGTGTCAACATAGAAAGAACTCAACAACAGTTATCACTTTGGACAAAAGATAAGATTAATAGTAGTTGGCGGACAGATGTCATTAAATGAACGGTGAAGATGAAATCAACGATGGATATCGAACATGATGTCAAAGACGGTTACCCAGTCTACATTATAAATAACACTCGGCTGCCAACAGAAGCTCCCCCCCCCCCCCACCCCCCCCAGCACATACAAACCAAAATGCTATCTTTTATCCTTATTTACTAGTTTCGCACTTTCAGTTTCCTTAGTTGCAGATGTTTATGTTCTTAGTCAGTAGCTTTGTAATATCATTTCGATGAACTTTGGACGCCGCCAGTAATTGGACGGGTTCGTTTAGGTGCTTTATAAAATTCAAGTCAAATTTCATCATCGTATGAAATTTGTGTTATCAGTCAAGACAATCAGATCATTTGATCACGCCTGGATTACTTCTGTCCGGAATTAGACCTAGAACCTGGTCTCCTTTCATTAAAAATCGAAGAACGACTTTCGGTGAATTATATTTCATCACGGAAGCCATTTTCGGCGAAACAGAAAGGTAGTAACATTAGGTGAAGTGGAGTTTGAAATGATGAGAAAAGACGTTAGAGTCGAAAAGGAAAAGACGAAAAGATAGAAAGAAAGAAAGGAGAAAAAGAAAGGAGAGAGGGGGGGAGAGAGAGTGTGTTGGCGAGAGGATAAGATAAACAAGGAGGGAGAGGCCTCGCACAGGAGGAGAAAAGAAAGAGAGAGAGAGAGACAGAGCACACCGAAGTAAGGGAGAGTTTGTTGAGCAGAGTGACGCTTCAAGGAAAATCACAAATTCGACGGCCATAGAGTCAAAATCAGCCGAAACCCCCAACTGGAGAGTGACAGTAGACTCAAAGAGCTTTCCATCCGTAGATAATTCACTCCGTACAGATATCAGGAGGTCGGTCAAAAGGAGTCCGAAACACCGTTTTTCGGAATGCCCGCCGGTGAAAGGATCAGCTGATACCCTCTAGGAAAGAGCCAAATTCGGTAAGCTACACTTAGAATTGGTGTACTAGCCATATACCGTTGGAAAATAGACTCGATCGTCGTGGAACCTAGGTCATAGCTTTTCGTGTTGGTATAAGTTAGGTCAAGATCTGACCATGTTTGTTGTGAGGAAAAGAATCGAGTTCCATGTCCATCCAAAGCTTTCCATCCAGGTAAGTGAAAACTCTGGGCACGAAGTTAGATCGTTCATTTTGGTACTCTTGAATTCGGTTGGTTGATGCCTACTTATTTAGCTTAAATTTTGATGTTGAATTTATATGAACTGCAAGCGTAACTAGCTGAGTTAATTGTTGGCTTGGATTGAAGAGTTTTATATATATGCTTGGGGTGTGTTTAAATAATTAGCAAAATAGTTGGTTGCATCTTGGATGGAGAAAAAAGGATAAATTGAACTAAACCTAAAGGTGGCAAAAAGTGCAGGCATTTAGAGGGTGAGGTCCATTGGGCAATAACTACATGACACTACATTAGTTTGGCTAATGAAAATGGGATAAGACAGAAGGGGCTGCGAAAACGAGGTGGTGGACATAGTTAGGGTTGTTTATATATTAGGCTAAAAAATATAAGAGTTAGGTCGGAGATTATGGTAAGGCATCGTGTGAGCTTATTATCATAGGAAGATGCGTCCATGGAGTTTCCTACATATTTCAATATCTTGGGTGTGAATCGAAAGAATCCATCTTTAAATATCGTAGACGTATGTTAAGTTATGTAGTTGTTCAAATGTGTTTTAGGGAAGTCGATTAATTACACTTCAATCTGTTTCCGTATGTGTGTAAATATTTAAATGTGTTTCAAAAATGACTTGGGCTTTTTGGGGGCCTCTTTAGGGCCACCTAATCTTCCACACTGAAACGACTGTCAGCTTACATAACTAAAGGCCGTGTCGTCATTGCCTAGGCGGAGAAATTAAGAAACACGTAATTCGGAGTGGGCCAAGCCAACAAGCTTGACGTTGATTGGAGGGTGAGGTCCGAAAGAAGCTGACTCCACCTGTTTGTGAGCAGAATCCGAGGCTGTAAGGACACGAGGTATGCTGAACATTCTCAAGCACTTGATTTTGTACGCACGATTAGCTGACCGAGGATCGTACGAGCTTCGCTCGCTTGATAAGTTAAGGACTACAAGCATTTGCAGAAACGCTTCCTAAGAGCATCTTTCTTTGTCCATCAATCCCTTTAAGCCGCAGAAAAAGCTGTCTTTCATTTCGACTTGACGTACGTGAAGTTATGCAGTTGTTCAAATGTGTTTTAACGAAGTCGATTAATTACACTTCAATCTGTTTAAATATGTGTTTAAATATGTAAACATGTTTCAAATATGTGTTTCGGAACAAGTACTTGATGTGGACATTTTGGGGAGAAATTAATGTACTCGTTATTCGGAGTGGACCAAGCCAACAAGCATTTACAGAAAAGCATCCTAAAAGCACGTTTCGTTTCAACTTCCTACCTCAGATCCTCATGGACAGAGGGCAGAGTTTGAGAGAGATAAAGAGAGAAGAGGAAGAGAGCACCGAGGGAGCATCCACTTCTTCATTCATCTCTCCGGAAGCCGCAGTTGTAGGTAGTGGTCAATACGACGTGTTCTTGAGCTTTAGAGGGCAGGGACTGTACCGTTTTGTATGTTCAGGGACGATATCAGCATCCCAATTGGTGAGGAATTTGGTTCACAGATTTTCGATGCCATCGCACGGTCTAGGATTTCGATCCCTGTCATCTCCGAAAATTATGCTTCGAGCAAATGGTGCCTCCGCAAGCTCATTCGTATCATGGACGGCAAGAAGAGCACGTCGCACATAGTATTGCCCATTTTTTACAAAGTTTCCCCATTAGATGTGCGGCATCTAACAGGAAATTTTGGAAATGCCTTCCGTTCGAGTAAGGAGCGTTTTGACGAGAAGGATATCCGGGAAGGGCAATGTGCACTTAATGAAGTCAGTTACTTACATGGATGGGAATCTGAGAAAATTGCCGACGGGTACTTTACTGAACTTTTCTGTTTTGATAAGTAAGTTTTCTTCTTCATGCAGAACTGATGAGATGCAGATGAATTACTTTCACTGCAAGCCCAGAAAAGATCCCCGAAATGTCCCAATAGACAACCATAATGCCTCGAAGACAACAAACTCCGGTACTCCCCAAGATGTCCCCGAAAACTAAACCAACAATAACTAAAACCAAAGCATTCCATAGCACCCAAATATTTTACATTTGCCTCCGGTACAAAGATGATCAACCATCACATAAATGGTCAATCGGAAGACAAATTTGAAAAGGCAAACAGTGTGAATTGCAAAATCGAATGAAGGGTGATAGTAAATTCCAATTTAAACCCCAAAATCACTTTTAGGGAACAGCATTCTCCAAGAGAGGAGTTATCTAATCACAGGAAGACACCTGAAGCTAGTTATCCAGCTCCTTTACATTAATTAGAGCAAGATTATCTGTGGGCCAATAGAATTGGTTGGATCATAGGTTGTAACATCTTTATATTAACTCACTGAGGTATTATCCGCTTTGGTCCGTTCCATAACGAGCCTCATGATTTTTTCCTTTGGCGTGCAGATGGGCACATTCCCAAGAGGTTATTCATCCTGATAATGCTCCCACCTAAGTGCATTTAACTTTGCAGTTTCAAAACAAAGCTTACCGTTAAGTCAAAGGGCGCATCTGCAAGTTAATTCCAGTTTCCACATATATATCTCAAATACGCTCTCTTTCTGTTTGATGAACAGTTCGATCATCCCTGCCCTCTTCGCCAATCCCAAAGCTTGCCAAGAGCCGCTTTTTGTCCAGGTTCTCTTTGGCCCCGACGACCACTCCCCGCCCTGATTGGACTGGGTCTTTACCGGAGTTGGTTTCAATTCCAACCTTTTCCTTAGTAGAAGTCAATAGAATAATACTCAATTTCCTTCCTCTGCAAGCTTCCACAGTACACTCACTACTACTATACTATCAACTCAGCCATCAAACCCTGATGCTACTAACACTTCCATAACTTAACAGTTTTAACCTCGATGATTGAGGGAGTTAGGGAAAGGAATTTAGCACCCGTGTAAGTCGCAGCCCTCGGAATCCTATAATACCTTGGGGGCCAAGTCCATCTCGGCGAACTTGAAAGCAATGCCGAGGGAGCCAATGAGAGGGAGCACGAGAGAGCAGGCTTGGGAGAATGGGGCACGCTCGATGTCCGCCGTCTCGGAGTTCAGGACCGCCGTGAGCTCCTTGAATGACTGGGCGATCTTCCTCAGCAGCTTGTCGTCATCGCCTGGCTCGGCCATCGATTGGAACTTGGATTCAAACGATCTAAATAAGTTATTTCGTTTATTCAGTTTGATAGGTGAGTATAGGTAAAGGAGAGAAGCCGGTCCGGATGTTGCGTCCCTCATATTGATTATACTTGTAGATTAAAAAAATGTGTATTTTAACGATCAAAGGCCGAATCATTGGCGCATCCTTTCCAGTGTACTTTCGACGTGTAAACTGGGAAGATTCCTGATCATGGTCACTGTAATAAAAAAATGATCGACCAGCGAGGGTGGTGCTTAAAAGAATGCATTGGAGTAAGCAAAGATAACTCTCGATTACTTACAGTTATTAGGACTCTGATTGTTTCGCCGAGAATAAATAATTTCATAAATATTTTCTTAAAAACGCTCACGTACGGCTTGTAACGAGAACGTTCCTGTGACGTTCTTTCTTCTCTCCTTCACGCGACTCGTCTTCAGCACTGTGCGGCTTCGTGTCGTGCATGTGCGGCTTGGGACCCTCGCATAAGATATAAATGCCTTTTTATATGTGTGCCCTTCTTTTTCCTTTTAATTTTATTTAATTCCATGAGTCAACAAAATAACTTTGACCTGGGCCCACCAATATTCCTTCTCTGTTGAGGAGGTCCTTTACTGTACATGCCATCGGAAGGATTTCTTTTATGTGGCAATTTTGAATATTTTCTCCAACAGAAAATATATATCTTCACAGATAAATTATAGAAATTTATTCAAGCGAGTCACGTTTCAGAAACGGCTTAAACTCGAGACATAAATTCAACACGAAAAATATTTTCATTATCGACAAAAACTTATGTCTAAACATATTTGTGAACAATGAAAATATTTTTCGTTTATTTATTTTTATAAGCAATCTTTGTTAAAAAAAAATGTTTTGCAAATTATTTATTTTCCGCGAAACGAAAGATGTCTAGATATGGAAATATTTATCTACTCAATGTTGATTATGATGTTGGTCATTGCTTAATGTCTATCAAGGATGAGAAAGAACTATGGTATAGAAAACTAGGTCATGTGAGTATGAGACAGATTTCTAAGCTATCCACCAAGGAGACAGATTTCTAAGCTATCCACCAAGGATCTTGTGCGTGGTCTACCCAAAATTAAACACGAAAAATTTGAGCTATGCAATGTGTGCTCCTTGGATATACAGGTGTGAAGTAACTCCGTGGTTCTCTCTTCTTTTCTATGTAACTGTGATGGCGTAAATCTCCGGATTAACTTTTCGTGCTGGCGTGGTACGGTGACTTGTTGAGTGTAGGAATTCTAGTGCTCGGAAGGTGCCAATTTTCAGTTGAAAGATGGAAATATCATCTTGATCTTCGTACTTCGCCTTCATATTTCTATAAGTAGAATCCCCAAAGTCTCTTGAAACCTTACCAACAGAAGTCACATTTGCTTTACTTTTAATCAAGATGTGTATTGCTATCGAAACAATTTGCGGGTAGTCAAATAATTTCAGATGGCAAAAGGACACAAGAAATGCCAAAACTTGTCAACGAGAATCACTTTAGTGCTAAAACTTTTTTTTTTGGATCACTTAAGTGTCAATTTTTTTTTTAAAACGATCACTTAAATGCCAAAATTTTTTTTTTCGGATCACTTAAGTGCCAAATTTTTTGCACTTAAGTGATCCGAAAAAAAATATTTTAACACTTAAGTTATCTGAAAAAAAAATTGTTTGACACTTAAGTGATCCGAAAAAAAAATTGGTCATAGATAAATTTTGACACTTCTGATGTATTTTTCCCAATTTCAGACCATTCACTATCTAAGCAATGCCCATTTGAGTCATTGTTAGCAAGACTCCGCAAATTTTCGCGATAGGGACATCCGCCAAATGCCATACATGGACGAACCTGCCTCGTGCCTCCGGCAATACTTTACCAAAACAAAAGCATACTTTATTTTCTACTAAAAAAAGTTGATTGCGACATTCGCCTACATTTTCAATAGACTAGCGTAGTCTCCACGGCAAAGAATTTCGGAAATTTTCTATAGACTAGCGTAGTCTCCACGGTAAAGAATTTCAGAAAATTAGTCAAGTTGGTAAAAGGTTTAAGATTTTATGTGGATGAATCTTTAAATTAGGTACATAGTCATTCTAAATGAATGTTCGAAACTTGAATTAGATGACTTGTTTCAACGCATATGTTAAAGCGGTCATGTGGTATCTAATATTTAAAGGAAAAGAAAAATAGTGAGCATAAAAAAGAGTCCTGGAAGTGGTAACTAATGGAATGAGGTGTTGAAGTTCAGGGTGCGCGTGAAGAAATTTCAAAAACAGAATTTCTGTTTCGAAATAGGTTGGAACAATTATCCGTTTCATAATGCAATTTCATTTTTTTTATTTCTAGAACAAATTTCTGTTTCAGAAGTAGGTTTAGGATAGAAATAAAAACTTAAAATTTTTTACTTTTTCATTTTTGTTAGAAATCATCTCTCTCCTCTCTCTCTTCACGACTCGCTCTCCTTTCTCTCTCGGTTCCCTGTTGCCGACACCGTTGCCGCCCACTGACCACCGCTGCCAGCCTTCGCAGCCGTCCGTCGTTGTCGCCTGCCGTCCGCTGGCGTCGCCCCTGCCAAGTTGATGTCGCCATCAGGGAAATAGAAATTTTATGCTGTTATAAAATGAATTTCTGTTTTGAGAATAAAAATTTTATGTCGTTATCAAACGCATTTCTCTGCTCATAAATATATTTTTGGAACAGAAATTTTGTTATACGTGTCCTTAATTGAGCTAAGGTGTTCTTTTTTTTTTCTTTTTTTTTGGAATCCAATTGATGTAAAACAGTTAGCCTGTGATTATCTTGAAGAATGTGATCGCCATAATCGCCGGAAATCTCGACAGTTTTGCTGATTAGGCAGTTTTTTTTTACTTTAGGAAATTTCTAATTATCAATATTTCGTTTGATTTTATTAGATAAGATTAGATTTGATTTTATTAGATAAGATTAGATTTGATTAGATTTGATTTGCTTTGATGTTATCTTCATTAATTCGGATATCTTTAGGAGTCATATCATTATAAAAGGACGTTCAGCTTTGTATTCAAATATTATGAAATTGAATTGAATTCCAGTCGAATCGTGGAAGAGTTTTTCAAGTTATCGCTTCTATCTGCGTCATTTGGTATCAGAGCAGGTTTCTCCTGTGATGATGGTGAATAACATGAATGTCAATCTCCCCGCTGCTGAGGGCCGTGAGAACGAGCCTATTACGCGGGCTGAGTTCAATCAGTTCGTGGATCAAACCAATCGGAGGTTTCAAGAGATCCTTGATGCCATCCAGCGTTTGTCCACAAATCATGCGCCTGGCGTTCTTCCAGCCGAGCGAATTCCTGTCGTTCGTGATCCCGAAGATGCTATAGGGCGTGGAGGAATTTCCCGACATAGGCGTCAAGACTATGTCGAGGATACGGAAGACGAAGACGATGATTTCTAGGAGATGCAGATTCATGGTGGTCGCCGATACAGGGGATTCCAGGAGGAGCATGTTCGTGGGAATCGACGTCAAGGAGGATATCGACGAGATCCTTAGCAGTATCAACTAAAGATAGATCTCCCTACTTTCAATGGGAATTTGGATATTGAAGATTTCCTTGATTGGCTTTGGGAAGTCGAAAAATTCTTCGACGCTATGGATATTGACGAGGATCGCCAAGTGAAACTTGTGGCGTACAAGTTGAAGGGTGGCGCTTCAGTTTGGTGGGAACAGACTCAATTGACGCGACGTCGACAAGGCAAGGCTCCTATTCGATCATGGGGTCAGATGAAACAGAAGTTGAAGAAGAGGTTCCTCCCAACGGACTATGAGCAACTGTTGTTTCAGCAATTCCAGAACTGCCGACAATTGAATAGATCGGTCCAAGCTTATACGGAAGAGTTCCTTCGACTCTCCGCTCGCAATAACCTGGATGAGTCCGAGGCACAACAAACTGCTAGGTACATTAATGGTTTGCGACTTAATATCCAGGATCGGGTTTCTTTGCATTGACTATTCTCTGTCGAAGACGCCCACGATATGGCGCTAAAAATTGAGGTACAATTGGAGAGGACTAGCCCTAGTACTCGTGGTAGCAATTATTCGGGTCGTGGGTCATTCGGGAAAGGAAGACAGCCTGATGTTACAAGTTCTTCTAGTCAACAAACACCTGATTCGAGCCAAGTTCCAGGGGGTACTACTGGGACGCCTAAGGAAGCAGTCGCAACAAACAATCGCACTTCCAATCAGAATACCCAGAATCCATATGCCAAGCCCCAACCGATCAGGTGCTACAAGTGTAACGAGTTGGGCCATCGTTCCAGCGATTGTCCTCGTCGTAGAATGGCCAATATCGTTGAACATGACAAAGATGTGTATGAGGAAGATTGGGAAAATGAAGAAGAATTGGGAGTGGAAGATGAAGTGGGCGAGCAAGTTAATTGTGTTGTGCGTCGTCTGTTGCTTGCTTCGCGAACAGAAGATACCCAGCGGAATCAGCTTTTTCGCGCTCACTGTACTGTCAACGGCAAAGTATGCGATATCATTATTGACAGCGGAAGTTGCGAGACATAGTGTCAAAGGCCTTGGTGGATTACTTGCAACTAAAGACGGAGCAGCATCCCGCGCCCTACACGATCGGGTGGATACGCAAGGGAGCAGAACTTAAGGTAAACCAATTATGCCGTTTACCTATTTTGATCGGGAAATCATATCAAGATACTATTGTCTGTGATGTTATGGAGATGGATGCGTGTCATGTTTTACTGGGTCGGCTATGGCAATATGATGTTGATGCTACACACCAAGCTAGGGAGAATACGTATTCTTTTGTGTGGAAAATGACTAAAATTACTTTGAGACCAAAGAGTAATTCCCCTCAGATTGTGAAGAAGCAGAATGCAGGGGTTATGATGAACATCCGAAAGCGTGAAGGATGTATATGATTGTGGACAAGGGCGACCAGCAAGTTGTGGTTCGTGTTCCCGACATTCTTAAGCCCTTATTAA